GAGCCTGTTTATTCTTGAAAAAAAAAAGTAGTAGTTTTATTTAAGTTAACATAAACTTATTTTAGGTAAAGTTTATATACCACCTGCTCTTCGTCAAAAATTAAATTCATCGGATGATGATTCAATCATAGAAGTAAAACGTCGTCTTCAAGGTCAATTAAATCGTTTAAGTGAAAAAAATTTATCATCAATATTAATTGAAATTGAAACACTTTATCGTTCTCACTCACGTGCATCAATTAATTCATGTTTATATCAATTATATCATGATAGTCTTTTATCATCAATTTCATTAGTTGGTGAAAGTTTACTTGCTGAACATGCTTTACTTGTTTGTCTTCTTCATACTAATATTGGTTTAGAAATTGGTTCATATTTATTAGAAAATTTCTTACAAATATTTATTGAACATATTAATGATGAAGTATCAAATAAAATAAATGATAATTTATTAATATTTATTTCATATTTATATGCATTTTATATGATAAATGGAAAAATTCTATTTGATATAATTCGATATTTATTAAATATTGATCAATTAAATGAAAAACGTCTTGAATTAATACTTTTATTATTAAAAACAATTGGTTTTATTTTACGTAAAGATGATCCATTACAATTAAAAACACTTTTACAACAATTACGAACAGTATGTTCATCATCAACATTATTATCATTATCATCAAAACGTGTTGAATTTATGATTGATACAATAAAAAGTTTAAAAAATAATGATGTTAGAAAATTACCAGGTGGTTTTGAATCTGAACGTATTGATCGTTTAAGAAAAATTTATCGAAATTTAGTTAAAGATAAAACAGTACAACATACAAATATGCTTAATGTTGGTTTACAAGATTTTTTAAATGTTAAAGAACAAGGACGATGGTGGATTATTGGATCTGCATGGCAAAAACAAAATTCTCAAGATAATAAAAATAATAATAATAATCAAAAAATAGAACAACAATTTAATGAAAAAATTAGAAAATTAGCTAAACAACAACATATGAATACTGATATTAGACGATTAATATTTGGAACTTTATTGACTAGTGAGGTAATTTAATTCAAATATCTTTCTATAAAGAAAAAAAAAATATCTAGAATTTATATTTATTCAAATAAGAATTTAAAGAGAACAAAATATCGTCAATAGAATTCGATGTTGTTTTAAAAAAAGCTTTTACTAAGAAATTCGTTTGCTAATGATAAGCATTTTATTACTGGCTATTATGATTTATTACTCCGAAGAAGTAAATCGTTTCT